TTTCAACTCATTTCACATAAGCTTGGTGGCGGAATAATTGTTAAAAAGCAAGTTCAGTGCGTAGTTATAATAAACATCATCGTCATCAGGTCACCACCTACTCGCATTCTCCTTGGCTGATGAAGTGGCTTGTGGTTGTAGTCAGCCTGGCCCTGGCTTTAACCTCAACTGAAAGCCAACTCCCACATGACAATGCTATTTACAGAAAGGACCTTCCACACAAGGCCACGGAGCCCTTGTTAGATTACAAAAAGAGAAATCATGGGGAAAAAAACTACCGTATACAGCAATACAAACTCTGCTGACCCAACCACAGCGGGACATAAAAACACATTGGGCCGCGCGGTTGACAAAAAAGGCCGCTTGGCCTCATTCCAATGACATGAAGCCAACTCCTGCCTCATCTTAAAGACAATGAGCAACCATGATATATAATATGCCATTCCGCTGGCCAAGTACACTGCCAAATCCACCACCTCACTTGCTTATTATATGCAAGCTAAAAACCTCCCCCCCCCTTTATTCTGTCGATAGCTGCCCATCTCAAATAAAGTGCACCTAGCCTGGCACAAGCGCTGTGGTGTGACCCGTCAGCACCACTTGATTCACCCCCACATGGATTCAATCGTGAGAAATCAGGGTCACGAGTAGATTTAAGATTCAATTCCATGGCCTTGTTAGACTTTTCACCATCCCGTTTGCATCGTTTCTCATTTGTTTAATCTTGTTTGTACCAAACTGTTTGCTTCATTAGCTTAAACGTAACATTAGCATGCAATTAGCTGCAATGGCATTTGCATACATTAAAAATTAATGCTCAACAGACAAAGGGACATTCATCACGAGCATAAACTTCTCAATTCATAAAATCCTTACGATAGCGGCGTGGGGAGGCCTTCATCCAGCAGTGGAAAGACAGCAGCTGATAAAAGACGACTTCCTCTTTATTTGCACCTTCGCCACACGTTTTCATTTCACCTTTCTGTGTCTGCTGCATTCTATCCTCCGTTTCACTCACCTCCAAAAAAATACCCCAATCTGTCCTTTTTAAATTGTCTCTATATGCACTTCAACCCTTTGCGCGGCATAGTCAACTGCGGTTGCATTTAGACGCTTTATAAATCCCAATTGAATTACACTGCGCAGTCCAAAACTCAGCCGATATCACCAGGGTGATTTGCTACAAAGAACATCAATCTATCGATACGTGGCAATACAAACGGAACCCACACCGACACAATCACATAAAAACTTGTATGGTTAAGGCCAGTGACAACACAACAAAGGAGTACCTGGTGCAGTGTATAAACATCAGGACTCGGCAGACAATGGTGGCTGGGCATAGTAGTGGCTCCACCATCCCCCAAAATCATGCCGACCTTAATGGATGCTTGACAGCAGCACTAGCCCCAACAGTCGACAAGGCTAAATGAAGGATACTTGTGTGTGCATTTCACAATGATCCCAGCCTGTAAACACACTGTACAGTACTTGGATGGATCCCGCGCTTTCATATCGGTGTAGCATCGGCATGCACCTCGCAAGACACGGCCTTTTTCGTGACATCACTCACAATTGTATAGCCTTAAAATGCGCAGGGGGCTGCAACTTGAAGGCCTTATGAGAAATGTGCCAAGTGGGTTAATGTCACATGGGAGAAGAGCCAAAGGTCATTTAGGGCTGTGAAGGTTGGTTTAGAAGGCGTATGGGTTAAGCGAGTGTTGATGCTCAACGGCCCTAGCGCCTGTCCAGTCGATGGCTCCCAATGCCCCAGAAAGTAAAGTTAGTGAGCTTATGTAATAACATAGAAAGCGCCCAATTAAATCCGTTCCTGGAAGATGGACAGGCAACCACCATGCATAAAACATGTTGTTTTATATATATAGATACAAGTACTTAGGAGCCACGTGTAGGAGGGAAGAGGAGAATGCAGCAAGATCCATAGTTATAGTTACGTCTATGCATCTGCGTCTGTACTGCCGACCATCACCAACACACAATGACCAGCGTGGCAAGGTATGGTCAACTCCCACGACCCGTGTGTTGTGGAGAGGCCGTCATCCAGCAGTGGATTGATAAAAATGACCTACGAGTAAAAGTTGGTGATCCCGTCAAACTCAACTAATATTAAATTTTGATTTAAAGCTTTCGTGACTGCAGGGATTCATCTTCTTGGTTCTTTCGGTAAAGTCACGTAGAAGGGAAGTAATAAAATAATAAAAATAAAACATAATAAAATTATTCTCACGACGTTTCGGCCACAACGCAAGCAGCCGTCCTCAGGTGAAAACCAGACTCTGTCGCCTCGACGGACCTGGTTTTCACCTGAGGACGGCTGCTTGCGTTGTGGCCGAAACGTCGTGAGAATAATTTGATTATGTTTTATTTTTATTATTTTATTACTTCCCTTCTACGTGACTTCACCGAAAGAACCAAGAAGATCAACTAATATTGCATGTACGTTGCTGCACTGCGCTCCGTTTTCCACCGCGTACCTCGGCAGCCCTCTCTAAGATCTATTTGTACATGGTTGACCATCCATCAAAGCACTACCCAGGCTCAACTATGCTTAGCATTTGAGATAATAAATTTAAAGGCCTGCAATGCCCTTTAAAAGGCAGATGGAAATCCACCAACACATATTCACAGCGGAATTAAGACTTCCCTGTAGTGTCAGTAATGGGGGATGTTTGACCGTACTGTACTTCACACTTATCAGTGCTGAATTGGTGAAGAGTTGAGGGGAGCTCAGGAACGCTTTGGATATCACTCGCCACTAACGTTAGCCGTGATCCGTAATCAAAATATGTCAATCAGGTTCACAGCTCGTGGTGCCAACTACTCCCACCACCGCAGGGAGTGTTGGCAAAGGTAATGGTGGTGGTGGATAAAACGCACAACTTATTAACTCTGTTCTCATCAATACTACTGTCGGAAACAGAAACGCGTGCAGTTCAGAGAGTGGCAAGTCACCATTCCTTTGTCTCATAAGCTATTAACTCAAGAGGTAAACAGGGACTTCCCGCCGAGCAGGCTGACCGTCTTGAGCAATAGTGGTTCAGAGCAGAGGGCTTTTGAACAAACGTGTGAATTTTTACGTGTGCAGCCCTTTGCCAATCCACTGCTGGAGTAATTGTTTGACCGTACTTGCTCACGATCAGTGTGGATTCAAGGCGGACAAGCTTAGACGTAAGATTATAAACGAAACTATTTTTTATTTTATTTTACCAGGCCCACTGAGTGATATCGCAGCTCTTTTTCAGAAGCGACCTGTTCACAATTGATAGCTCAAGCAACTGGCTTATCGTAATGTGGAAATGTAACGCGGCCAAATGCTCTAAATGACGGGAGTAGCAGCCAATGGAAAGAGGACGGCACACCGAGAAGATGGAGTTCAAATCAGTGCAGGTGCTCGGTGACATTTTACACATCGTTATCGTGCGAGGTGGCGCATGCCCGCACCAAAGCAAGTGGTTTAGGGAGGCCTTCATCCAGCAGTGGATTGGCCATGACTGACGATGTCACCAACAGATTCTTCCTTTGCCCTTGTGGCACGAGTAGCATCTGTAAGAGGTGTGACTAAGTAATCTATCGGTACAGTACGAATCGAACGCAATCGATTCCCAACATCATCCGGTCTAAGCATCGTGAACACATTCTAATTTTATCGACCCAAAGTGCCTATTTGTATTGCGTTTCAGATCATTCACAACTCGTACAAACGACACATTTGGCGGCCACTAAAATGCGTACATCCGATGTTCCCTCGTCCTAAAGGGATAAGGAAACAGCGGACTGTTCGACTCCGCCAAAACGTTTAAAGTCGAGCGCCGCGCAAGAGAATCGATTCATCTCTCAGTTAAAATCTCCCCACCATCACCCCGCGTTGCCTTCCACCATTGCAGCAAAGCCACCACGTGGGGACTGTCGGCGGTGACGTCACCGCGCCGACCCCGGTGACGTCACCGCGCGGGTCTCGCCGCGGCGGTTGGTAAGCGACACCCCCCCCCCACACGAACGCGGTGACGTCACGACGCCGACTCCGGTGACGTCACGACGCCGACTCCGGTGACGTCACCGCGCGGGTCTCACCGCGGCTGTGGTAAGAAACCCCCACCCCCCAACACGACTGAACGCGGTGACGTCACGACGCCGACCCCGGTGACGTCACCGCGCGGGTCTCGCCGCGGCTGTGGTAAGAGACCCCCCCCCCCAACACGACTGAACGCGGTGACGTCACGACGCCGACCCCGGTGACGTCACCGCGCGGGTCTCGCCGCGGCTGTGGTAAGAGACCCCCCCCCCAACACGACTGAACGCGGTGACGTCACGACGCCGACCCTGGTGACGTCACCGCGCGGGTCTCACCGCGCGGTAAGCGACCCCCCCTCCACACGAACGCGGTGACGTCACGACGCCGACGCGATGACGTCTCGCGGCGGCGAGTTCGCGCCTTTTGCCCCCCCCGCCCACCGGTATGACGTCACATCCGCCCGCGCGTGATTACGTCACACCCCCTCCCCCTCATAATTTCCTCCCAACAGTCGTCGGGGAGCGCGTCCGCCATTACAGGCGGAGCGAGCGATGCGGCCGCGTCCCCTCGTCGTTAACTCGCATTGCGCTCACGCTAAACATTGTAACAAACGCCGCCGCCAACATTTAAACGATTAATCTTTACGTTACGAGGTGAACAAGGCGGTACGACGCGGTTGCTTTCAATCGACGATAGCCGTGCCCCACTCCCCTCACACACAGACACGCGCATGCCTCCCAACACGATCATGGTTTGTTGTCCTTCATGCCCATTTGTTACAGGAGGTGGGGAAGGGAAATAAAAGGATGAGATGACGAGGTTCCCGTACACGCAGCAGCACGAACGACGAGACGACAAAGGAAGATGAAATAAAATGATATAAACCTTTTTAAACGATACACGAGCCTCGTGCGAGGCTGTCGCTTTTACAAAGACGTTAGTGAGTAGGTTTTTGTTCGGTGTTTACCTTAATGCCGTAGGGCGGCTCATCGAGGGTTACTAGCATGTATCTGTCACCCCTACTCGAGGGGTCTCGGGCACGCAGCTGTTAAACACAAGGAGAGAGAGAGAAATAAATAAAAATAATGACGCGAATGAGCCAAAAGTCCAAGAGAAAGTTGCCTGACGAATACCGACGCATCGCGTTATTTTTAAAAAGCAACGTAAAAAATGAGCTCCGGTTTGTTATATACTTAAGACGTATATAATAGTAATAATACACGAAGATTGGAATATTGTTGGTTTTTTTTACCTTCATGAATATCTCAACAGCACCCTTTGCAACGTCGAGATATGTGATTCCCAAATAAGTACGCTGGTTCATAGACGCGGACGTGTCTAAGAGGAAAAGTAAGATGGGCATTGTGGCGAAATATACACATCCAGGCTCCCTCTACAGATATAGATTACAGAGTCAAGAGACACATACACCACTACTGCATAAAATAATTAAAATCTTTGAAAGTTGCCCGCCCTACTGAATGGCCAACGGGGGGGAAAAACAATTCCCTTTCCACCCCCCGCCTCTCTACCTCTCACCCAAACTGCGGGATTTGTTTAAAAAAAAAAACTATAAATTTAAAAAGAAAGCTTCTCTCCACCCCCTCAAATAAAGTATCCTAACCCGACTCGCGCTCTCCACCAACAACTTCTTCCTAAGCTGCCTCCTCAGCAGCTGAGGCTCGCCACGGCGCGCGCCTCATGTGATCATTCCGCCATCGACACGCCATTGGTCGACGCTCGCCCCGCCCCTTCGCATATATTATGCTAATCGCGGCATCGCGCGCAGCCATTGGTCGACACTCGCCCCGCCCCTTTGCATATATTACGCTTAATCGCGGCGTCGCGCGCAGCGATTGGTCGACGCTCGCCCCGCCCACGACGGCACGACGCCATAAATTATGTTAATTAGAGGCGTTGTGGCTCGCTATTGGTCGGTTGCCACCCGGGTGATACATTATTCATGAGGCTTAATGTGGGCGTCGCAACGCGCGATTGGTCGAGGAGCTCCACCCACCCAACTTTTGCGAAAGGCGGTTTATGTTAATGAGCCGCGATGTGGGCGTGGTTACCGGTGCGAGCTCATTAGCATATTGTATTACGATGCTGCTCGGTAGGGCAAGTTTACGTAATAGGTAGGAGCGTAATTAGCGTTCGTTTCGGGCTGCGTGCTGTTCGCGTGTACCGTTGCCACCAGTAGGCACGCGAGATATTATCAGCTGGCCATAATGCGTTTGTTAGCGGTGTACGAATTACAAAAAATGCATCACAGTCGTAGCACGTGAAGGGCCGTTGCCTGAAACGTCGGCCATTATATGCCCCCCTCCCACCCACCCGCCACATTGACGCAGTGTTTTTTAGACGAATATGTAAAATGCATGTATTTTGAGATCGTGTAAAATGAGACCATGTCGCGTTCATTTAACGTCACTTCCGCAAACGCGTTCACTGTGGATTATTCAGACGTTAAAGAGCACAGCGGTTAATGTTCACGTTCTAAATAAGTCACAGCCCGCACGAACACGCCAGTATATTGACTCCTGCGACCTCCCCCGCCTTAATGAAATGACTGTACGTGGACCGTACAGCGTGGGTCGTACAGCACGTGGCGATCAGGGTCATGGCCTCTGTTGGAAAGTCCAGTCCGGATTTTCCCAGTCTCCCGACCACGAATGCAAGGCGAGCAGCGGTGTGTAGTTGATGACATAAGGAAACAACTGGGGCATGATGAACTAAAAACTCAAGCCATACGCGAGGCTCCATTCCAATCCTTGCCCTACCCCCATCCCAGTGAGTGTGATCCATTCCTGCTCTTATTATTCAGACGTACAGTTCCGGCAATTCCAGTCCGCGAAATACACTCCAGGTCTTGCTCTAATTCCTTGCGACGTTCCACTGAGATTCGTTGCTACGTTCCATTTCTGCCCATGTGATTCATTCCAGTACTTACTGATCCACTCCAGACAGTCAATTCTTGCTCTGGCCCACTCCATTCCTTGTGCTTTGCGATCCGTTCCAGTTGTTACCCTTATCCACTTTTTCCTTTGTAATTCTAGTGCTTTATGTGTGACCCACTCCCAGGCCTTGTGATCAAATCCAGGTGCTACCCTGGTCCACTCCTGCATTTGCAATTCCACTTCACGTCCAGCTATTGCGATCCATTGAATGTCTTAAGCAGATCCATTCCATTTCTAGGATCTCTTCCGGCTGTTGCCCTGATCCAATTGAGTCACGCTGATCACTGTTACAGATATCACCGCAGTACATTCAGACGTAAAGTTAACGCCACCGTTGTATTATACGGGCCGTAATCCAGCAGTGGTTTGACAAAGGGCCACGCGTGAAAACAAATCACAATCCCAAGGATTATTGTTCACCTCGTTTCACTTTCCACGTCTCCTGAATCGCGACCTCTAGTGGCTGCAGGGGGTCACGCGAAACCATTTACATAAATTTTGATGTAAAGCTGTCGTGACTGCAGGGATTCATATTCTTGGTTCTTGATGATTGCTTGTGTTGCAGTCGAAACGTCGTGAGAATTTTTATTGAATTATATTTGTATTATTTTATTATTTCCCTTCTACGTGACTTTACCGAAAGAACCAAGAACATTTACATAAACTGTACAAAATAGGTAAGCATGCAATGGTCTCGCCGCGTAAAAAAAACACACATCTTAAGGTTTATTGTTTTTACACAACCCATAGGTTTCACGGCCCTCTTGGGATTGCATAACTTCAACAGCTTTGACTCGGCAAGCCCAAACTGTGGATCGGTTTTCCCCAACTCTTCTCATCAGAAAGTCGGCCTTGAATCAACTCTGGCGAACGGGCAGATGTCACGGACAAAATGATATCATGCATTACACAAAGCAATCATTAGCGTCGTGGAGAATTATGAATATAAATGTGCTAAGTTGACAAGACGTCACTATCACAACTGGACTTACTGTTATACGTGACGTGCCCGGACATGACCCCGGTGTTATTGTCGACTGAAAACAACTTTCAATACGAGCAATTAAATATTTTTAGACAATAAATATGGACAAAAAATAACACTGGCGCAAAAAAAAAAAACTATACACGACACAACGCGCCTGCAATCCAGGAATTGTGGAGGCAGCAGCGAGGGTTGTGGGTCACCGCACAGATTCTGTGGAACTTCCCTTCCAGTGGGTGTCGGGGAGGTGCCGTACCCTGGCTCGCCAGGAGAAGGCAATACAGCAAGTTGACTAATCGCCATCCGTTTCCATCTGTACGGGGATAGAGTGCTGCCCCCTCGCGCGCGTGGGTTGTCTCCGGGTGCTCTGGTTTGCTCCCACCCTCCTGATAACGAGTCCTACCATTCAGTGCGACCTTCCTGTGTAAATAAGTACACTATTAATTGTAAAAAAAGGATATTTAAACAGAACAAGACAGACACAAAAACGTTACAGAACAAGGGCGTTCCGATTTTATTTATTTCACTTTGTAAGCAGGTAAAAAAAAACCTTGAGATTCAAAACCTATTTTGCGAGGGTGACCTGACAAGAACGCATGCCTCTTAAATCATCTCTTTCCTGGTCATAAAGATCATCGACCTGCGATTTGGTCAGGAGATATCAGGACAGATATGGATTTTCTTGGACCCATCTGCGTGCAGCTTTGAGTGTTTACTCCCTCATAAGCGCGGTGGATGTTCTTCATCAACTTGCATTTTAGCTCCTCACACTCGGGAATGGAATTGGTACAATTATCCCAATGCAGAACCCTCTTGAATAAAATATTCCTGAGACTCGGTGAGGCTTTGACGGGTAAATAATCGTCGCCCAGATCAGACATGGCCAATCCATTGTTGGATGAAATGCCTCCTCCCCAAGCCACCGCCATCTGGTTATTTGACCACACTTCCCAACGATCCACCATGCATACGATCACTGCCTATGCAATACATTCCTGGGTACAGCTAATCACTATTATTATTATTGTTGTATGAGACTATAATGTACATCTATTGCATAGAAACGTGATCCAGAATGTGCGACGGTTGAAACGCCGAGCTTACACCAAAACTTTTGACCACAACAGCCCCACAAATGGCAAGAGCTTTTAATAGTCACTGTGTGTAATGTGTATGGTGGGGGCATGATAATATTAGCAATGATGACTCTGTAATGCTTTATGTAGGGGAGGGACACGAGCTAGGCAAACGTCTGGCTTTGAAAAAGGCGCGTGTACAAATGCACATGTACAGGCACTTGTTGAGTTGCTGCTTCTACAAGACGGTATCCCTACATCGTGCTGGTCATGAGTGTTAAATTGGGCACCACGGTGGCTAGGAGATGTTAACTACCTCGCCTGGTATGCAGGAGTTCGTGGGTTACATCCCGAACCTGATGCCTGGTGTATATTTGGAGTTTGCGTGTCTCTCTCTTTCTCATCATCATCACGGTGGCTATGAGATGTAAACTACCTCGCCTGGTACACAGAAGGTGGTGCGTTCGATCCCTCACAGTCGGGCATATTTGCGGAATACACCACGCCGCCGTTGACCCTGGTCATTGATCGAACAAACCCAACGTTCCTACCAGCTCCCTCCGCAGGAATGTGTTTGTTGTTGTAAATGTGCTTTTGCACTAACTGCCAACACATCACCAAATAATGTAAACGCACAGTCAGACTGCACGTGGGTAGTAGCTCTACAGCTCTTGCCCCAACAGCGTGTGTCAGGCTACCCGGGGTTACTTTGTCTGTGCCTGTGTGAGTCAGGGAGAGCGGTGGTGTAGCGGTTAGCGCGCTGCCCTACGAACCCGGCTACCCGAGTTCGATTCCCGCTCATGACCCAACATCATAGTGGCGATTATATTTATCAGAGCCGGTCCTGGGCCTGCCTCTTCCCCTAGGTCGACTCAGCCTCAAATTACTACCTGGTGCGGTGTGTATAAACATCGTCAGTGGGGAGACAAAGGCGGCCTTCATGGGTGGCACTCGCATACCTGTAAACCCTTATCAGTGCCCTACCTTATTACAGATCAAATCAGACCTTATTGGTCACCCCATGCCTCTTATAAATCTCAACGTTGGTCCTACAAAGTCTCATCACAAGGGATAAACACAAAGAGACATTTAATTTGAAGCTTTCGTAACTGCAGGAATTACTCTTTTGTTCTTTCGGTAATATAATAGTATTTAATTAAGTTTCTTTCTACGTGACTTCACCGAAATAACCATAGAGTAAACAGACATTTTTTTAATGTTTGTGTTGCCCGTATTGATACGGGGCTGCAGGCCGTGTGGACCTGAACACACAATGTTCCTGGACAAGAATACGGGGGGGGGGGGGGGGGTGAGAGAGATGCACCCGCTCACAAAACCTGCCCCCCCAAAAAAACAGTCTGGTGACAAGGCGACACAGTGGGGTGGGGGCGGTGTGTGGGGTGGGGCAGGAGGGTGGGGGGGCAGGAGGGGGGGGCAGGAGGGGGGGGGCAGGAGGGTGGGGGGGCAGGAGGGTGGGGGGGGGGGCAGGAGGGTGGGGGGGGTGGGGGCAGGAGGGTGGGGGGGGTGGGGGCAGGTGGGTGGGGCAGGAGGGTGGGGGGGCAGGTGGGTGGGGGGTGGGGGGCAGGTGGGTGGGGGGGGCAGGTGGGTGGGGGGTGCGGGCGGGGTGGGGGGCAAGTGGGTTGGGGGGCAGGTGGGTGGGGGCGGGTGGGGGCAGGTGGGTGGAGGGGCGGGTGTGCGGGCGGGCGGGGGTGGGGGGCAAGTGGGTTGGGGGGCAGGTGGGGGGCGGGTGGAGGGGTGGAGGGGCGGGCGGAGGGGCGGGTGTGCGGATGGAGGGGCGGGTGTGCGGATGGAGGGGCGGGTGGAGGGGTGGAGGGGCGGGTGTGTGGGTGGAGGGGCGGGTGTGTGGGTGGAGGGGCGGGTGGAGGGGTGGAGGGGCGGGTGTGTGGGTGGAGTGGGGGGGGGGGAACCTTTGTCTTTGGATTCGGAGGGAGCTGAAGAAGTTGCGACGTTGACGCTTTAAAAAGCGCACGAGACGCGGAAGGAATGACGTCATAGGCGACGGCGGCGGCGGCTCCCCCCGTGTGTGTCGGTGGTGGCGGTGGCGGTGTCGTTGTGCGAGTCGGTGTTGTTGTGTGTGTGTGTGAGTGTTGTTGTTGTGTGTGAGTGTTGTTGTGTGTGGGTGGGTGTCTCCTCCGTGGTGCACGCGCGGACAACAACAACAACAACAACCTGTGGGATACGCGCGTAGAAGGTAAGGCTCACGATAAACTCGCCCAGGGGAAAGAAGACCACAACGTTACGGGGTGCGCGGGGGGAGGCAGACATCATATACGTTTGACACACACGCAGACATGTTTTGCGTGTTGCGCGTTTCAATAGATGCTCGCTAACTACCCTTGCCTCGCACCAACCAGTGCGTAGGGGGCTACGCGGGGGATCTTTATCTGTGTGCGGGTGTGTGTGTCAGCTGCTGCTGTTGTTGTTGTTGCTGTTCTAGCCCGTGAGATCAACAACACAGTCACCTCGGCCCCTTGTGCCATGGCGGCCGAGATTCACACGGAGGCGAGGGTGCGACGTCCACTGCTTTTGGCGAAGATCGAAGGCTCCCAGGATGTGGTGAACATGGCAACCATCATCCCCAAGGAGGATGGGATCATCAGCGTCAGCGAGGATAAGTGAGTCTTCGGCGAGGCGAGCCGCTGTCAGTCGTTGCATTCACAGCCCTCTTACAGTCATTGCCATCATCATCATCACCACGTTGTTGTAACAACAGCGAGGGCAAGCGAGTCTTCGGTGAATACCTTCACAACTCCTGACCGCCATCACATCATCATCATCGCCACCACCACATAATCACCATCATCACCATCACCACCACCACCACATCATCATCATCACCATCACATCATCATCACCACCGCCACCACATCATCACTACCATCACATTATCATGACCACCACCACATCATCATCATCGTCACCACGTTGTTGTAACAGCGAGTGCGTCACGGCGCACGGACAGGGCGCGCAGCGGCCGCCTTTTAAGGCCGAGCCGACCTAGGGGAATCCCAGGACGGGTTCAAATATTCGCCACTGACTGCGGACGTGAGCTACGTGAGTGGGGGGGGGGTGTAGGGGGCTACTAAGCAGTGCCGACCACTACGCCACCACCACCACCCCCCAGAACATCACAACAACCACAGATTTCAGCTCAAATCAGCATCGAGGCATTGCTTGGTGCTATTGCATCTCCTGACTACAGCCCTAAGCCGGTGGTGGAAATTCCACAGTCCTCCGACGGGGCTGGGGTGGGTGCTGAGTGTGTATGGCAAAGGGCAACGATTGTTGACTTTAAATCGAAGTCGTCACCACCCGGAACACACCACCCCCCCCCCCACCTCCACCCCATGGGCTTGTTGACGTGCCACTCACTCGGATACGCTGAGATGCATCCGGGCAGCAGCATCATCATCATCGTAAAGTTATCTGTCAGTCCACTGCTAGATGCATGCCTCCGCCACGCTGTTGTCAAGTGCGTGGGGGTTCATTCGAGCCTACCTCAGCACGCCGGTCAGTGCTGGTTTGTGAATACGGAGAGCGTGGACGTGGGCGCATAGAAGTATAGTACAACAACCGTTGAATTTGCTGCGCTGCCCCACTGCTGTTCACCACGTGGCCCCGTAGCACCACCGCAACCGATAGCAGCAGCCTGTTATACTGGTAGGAACCTCCTGGTTACACCAGCCCACAGGGGATTATTGTGTCCGTCCGTCGTGCATCCTAAAATGGGAGGGGTGGGGCTGGGTGGGGCGGGGCTGGGTGGGGAGGGTGGGGCTGGGTGGGGAGGGGCTGGTCACTCCGTTGTGCCCTTATAAAACTCAATGTTTAACCTCACGCCGGCTTGTGCCCGCCCTCACAGTGGGGCATATTTGCGGAATACACCACGCCGCCGTTGACCCTGGCCATTGACCGAGTAACCCAACGTTCCTACCAGTTCCCTCCGCAGGAATGTGTTGGGCATTGCTATTTGGTCGCCCAACACAAGCACGGTCCAGGCTTCTTCATCCAGATATATCGCGATATCTGGCGCGTGTGAGTACACTGCAGATCACTTGGTCATTGGTGTTATTTATATTCCTGTATTTTACAGTGTCTGTGTGCGTTTGTAATGTAGATATTCTCGTCCGACCACGCATTGTAATATCACGTTGCACTTAATAGATGCTCCCAAAACACCAGCACGCGTGCCTGTTCAGTTAATATATCGGGAGCATGAAATATGTGCTCGTGCGATAGGCACATTCCTAATCGCCCTGTTTATCAGCGTGCTGGTTAATTCTTTAATCCCGATGCAACATAGTTCCGACTGCGGCACTGTACTTTCGGCAAGAATGCTGAGCAGGGGTGAGCCTGGCTAGTACTCGGATGGGCAACCACAAAGCACAAACACGTTGTCCATAAGGCGACTTCGAGGCTGTGGTGGTCAACAGAGGGTCGTGCAGAAAAAAAACATCGATTGTACCATGCCTCTACGCTCCCCTTGCCTTCATTCAACCCTGTGTAGTGATTAGCATGGTGAAGCATGGGCATGCCCTCAAGGGGCTATGCCCATAATTTAGCTGTGACGGTCCCACCTGAAGACGGAGACTTGTGTTGCCTCCGAAACGTCGTGATTTAATAGTTATTTTAATTTACTATTATTTTATTATTATTTTTACTTACGTGACTTTACAGAAAAAAACCTAAGAGTATGAATCCGTGCAGTCACGGAAGCTTCAAATCTAGAATTAATACCCCCAAGGGTTTACACTTGGCTGGGTTTGACCCGGCATCGTCCGGGAATTGGTACCTATGGGCGGGTGGCAGCAGCAAGTTGATTTGTACCTAGATCTGGTGGTGATAGTATTGTGTTCCTATAGCTACTGACTGCCACATGTGTGTCCAGGTTTGGTCTGTGGTGGAAAAGGTGCTGGTGGCCTTAAACAAATACAGCCCTCATCACCAACACCAGCATGGCGGGAGGCCCTCATCCAGTAGTGGATCGATAACAATTGCCTTACGTGTAGATCACACGTATGCCGTGTAGTACCGGACGGAATTACGAGCGTGCCATTGTGAGCGGCATGCTCGTGTGATGAAGTTGAACCCGAACAAAATTAGATCTGACTGCACGTGACTGCCTCGTGCGGCTAAAGCTGTAAAGTAATAATCCTACCTGGCTTGTGTTTCACAATCCACCTGTGGGGCCTACACAAGCAGGGCAGCCTATACTCACTCACTCCCGAGGTACAAGACTATAACTAGAGCACAGACGATTCATTTACATAATGACTGTCACCTTCCTGTAACCGGAGGTGCAAGAGTGATAATGAGCAATTCCACGGGCAAAAAAAGCAAAAATCAGCAAAAGAATTTCCCATTTTACTAAATGCATGTTGTCTTTTGAGAAGTCGTTACCGGATCTGCACAGCGGGCAAAAACACAATGCAGGGAATGGTTCCGATTGCTTGCAAAGAGGTACCAGCTGTGACGGATGGCTCAATTACAGTATTTTTTATAATAATAATCATCGTATTGATGTTAGTTGAAAACGCTTTTGTGGTCATTATTTTAGTGTATTTAAATGTTATTTTCATTATCATCATATTACTGTTGATTTATTAAAATATTGTGACAATTTTTATGCTTGTGATACACGAATCAAGAAGTACAGGTTGTTTTCAAAAGATGAACCCAATTTCAAAGCAGTACTGTTTTGAAATCGGGTCCATCCAGTACTGCTTTGAAATCGGGTCCATCTTTTTAAAACACCCTGTATAAGGATGAATATTTCACCAAACATCAGCAAATTATACCCTTTTTATAGAAACGTGCGTAACCTGACCGGGAGAGTGGTCAAACACTTTGAGAGACATCTATTAACTAATGGTGGAATTAAACTAATCCATTTTTTAAATCCATAATCATGCTACAATACTATTGATCTATTGAAGGATGTTGTTATCACCACAATCATCATGATGCTTCTATTCATGTATTAAGGCGTGTTTGTCAAGAAAATCCGATTTTAACCCCAGAACCTCGAAAGAAGCTCATGGATGAGTCCCTGTGTACACCAGTATGATTGTGAGGATGACATGGTGCTGAAAGCCCCACTTATGCCAGTGCACGATATTATTTTGCAGTGATGTAATGCTTTCCTTGAACACAGCTGGTAGGAATGTAGCTCCGTAAGTATTGCAGGGTAACATGCAGTTGTGAGATAATTAAATTGAGTCGCTCTAACATCATTGTAAGCAGCAGCATCCCCACCGTTATTGTTTGGCACCTCCGATTAGCACGTTTGGCTACGTACGGTGCGAAATAAGTTCAGCATACAATGTTGTAGCTTTAATCATCACTGCTATCATCATCAGCAACAGTAATGACATCGGCATCATGACAATCACCATAATTGGGAGCAGGGGTCATCACAATCATCACTATCGTAATTCCAATTATCAGCAGCAGTGGCATCACAAGCATTATTGCTTTCATCATCGTCATCATCATCCCTTCAGGGTCTCTAAGTTGGGTACCACATGATTCTTGTGGCATTCAAATCAACAATGCTCGCTCTGCGGACATACTCGTCTCTATTCTAGATTTGAAGCTTTCGTGACTGCAAGGATTCATATAAAATTAAAAATGTTTATTTTTATTTTTTACCTACGTGACTTTACCGAAAAAACCTAAGAGTAAAGTCACGTAGGTAAAAAATAAAATAAAATAAATGTTTAATTTTATTTTTTACCTACGTGACTTTACCGAAAAAACCTAAGCGTATACTCGTCTCTGCCATAGAATGTGGAATGTGAATCACTGCCATTTCAATCGAGGTGGCAAACAGAAATCAATCAGCACAGCTGTAAGCTCTCGGATATTTTTTTTTGAACATAGCTTTGACATGAACACACTTATCCAATAGTCTATAGCAGTCTTCAAGAATGATGGAATGAGACGACTGATGTGCTGGACCAACAGTGTGTCCTCAAAATACTGGGCGAATTCATGGATTGGGTGCCGTGGAATGTGTTTTTTTATATCAACAATTGCCCTATTATTTCCCTGAAGACCAGTGGCCCCATTTACAGCACGTATAATGCAATTCATTTTTATACTATAGAAATATGAAGAGCTACGTCAATGAATCAACGCTGACACCACCAAAAAAAATCGCAATCCAATTATGGAACGAAAAATGCAGTTTCGTAGTCATTGCTGAATGGTACAGTACTACGCTGGGTTTTCCTGACACACGACGTTTCTGCGCAGAATGGAGAGCATCTAACAAACCGAGTAAAAAAAAAATCTCAACACATTCATCAATAAAATTGTATAAAAATAATATAGTTGAGTATATAATTTTTTCCTTTTAGGGTCACAGTATTAATGACAAATGTATTGAGTTTTTTTTGTTTGTTCACCACTAGACGTTACATCACAAAAATCATTTTTTTGAACAACAACTTAGCTTTGCCCCATCCGTTCAGTTTTTTTTTTTAGCTTTGAGAGTGCGATATTAAATGTAAAAAGAATGTAGTTGTCCAAAAATACCCCATAATACATGAGACATTGTTTGTCTGACCACACTATCTTGAGGAAAGAGTGTAATGGAATAGCCGTGAATCACGTG